CCTTAACATTCTCGAACCTTCATCGCGAGCCCCGGCATAATTTTTGAATATTTGCACTTTAGTCCCTGAACTTTCACTTTCTTCCGTTTTGGTCATTTTTCACTTATTTTTTCTTATTTCCACTACATTCATCACTTGTCCTGTAAAACATAAATTACGTAGAATTAAGCTATATCCCAACATATTAATCAACAATTGCTCATGTTTTGACAGTAAAATAAGTATGTAAAAACGCACTTATCACAACAGAACAAAAACTTCGTCAAATTCATCACTCGTTAGATAAAGATCCAATATGTTCATATAAGAAAAATTGGTCAACATCATGAGATTGTGATTGTGGGTATATAATCTTGCCACTTAATACATGTGTGCATACAAGTTACAAGAAATTTATTCAAATAAATTTGGGGTTGACCAAACAAAAACTCCGGCAAACTCATCGCTCTAGTTAGATAAAGGTCCAATATGTTCACATAAGATAGATTAGTCAACATCATGTGCTTGTAATTGTGGTATATAATCTTGCAACTTAATACATGTGTGCTTACGAGTTGCAATAAATTTATTCAAATAAATTTGGGGTTGACTAAACAAAAACTCCGTCAAATTCATCGCTCTAGTTAGATAAAGATCCAATATGTTCATATAAAAAAAATTGGTCAACATCATGAGATTGTGATTGTGGGTATATAATCTTGCAACTTAATACATGTGTGCTTGCAAGTTACAATAAATTTATTCAAATAAATTTGGGGTCGATTGAACAAAAACCCCATCAAATTCATTACTCTAGTTATATAAAGATCCAATATGTTCATATAAGAAAAATTGGTCAACATCATGAGCTTGTGACTGTGGGTGTATGATCTTGCAACTTAATATATGTGCGCTTACAAGTTACAATAAATTTATTCAAATAAATTTGGGGTTGACCGAACAAAAACTCTGTCAAATTCATCACTCTAGTTAGATAAAGGTCCAATATGTTTACATAAGATAAATTAGTCAACATCATGAACTTGTGATTGTTGGTATATAATCTTGCAACTTAATACATGTGCGCTTACAAGTAGGGGTGGCAACCCAGCCGAGCGGCTCGTCGGCTCTTAAAAAAATGAGCCACGAGCCCAAACACGAGCCGAGCTGAGCAGGCCAGCTCGTGTGGCAAGCCAACGAGCTCGCCCATGAGCCGAACTCTTGGGCTCGTCTTTGTGAAGGGTTATTTTTTTCATAAAAAAGGTATATCCTAAAAAAAAGAATTTTAACGAGCTCGCGAGTCGACCTAAGAGCCACGAGCTCAGGGGCCGATCAGAGCTCGACCCGTGAATAACGAGCCGAGCAGAAGCTCGGCTCGTGAGGAGTACGAGCACGAGCCGAGCTCGTGGGCGTTTTGCCAAGTCGGCGTTTTGCCAATCCCTACTTACAAGTTACAACAAATTTATTCAAATAAATTGGGGGTCAACTGAGCAAAAACTCCGTCAAATTCATTAATCTAGTTAGATAAAGATCCAATATGTTCATTTAAGAAAAATTGGTCAACATCATGAGATTGTGATTGTGAGTATATAAACTAGACAATGGCTTGTGAGTTTTGTTGATGGAAAATAAGACTTATTCAACTCTGAGTCAAGCCAATTAAAGTAGTTGCGACAAAATTATTCGAGGAAATTGAAGTAAAGCTAAGAGGAAGAGTCTCTAGTTTTGAGAGGCTTTAAAGAAGGATAAGGACTAGAGAGACCTTTAGCCTTTTCAGCTCTACACAGCACATGTCGAGACATTCTTGTTAGACAAATTGTTGTCAAACGACCTTCCAAGCGATGATGTAAATATTGTTTATTCAATCAGTATCAACCGAATGACTTAATGTATATTGACACCATAATTGTCTAAACCAATCATATTATCCACTTGGGCCATTTGAAGCATCCTAATTAAATTAGTGATGTTCATGACCCAACCCAAAACTTAGATGGCTTTTATCTGGTTGACAGTCCACTAATTCCTATTGGGCCTTATTCCTCTAACCTAAAAGCCCATACCTAATCCCCCATTTATATGCGTTACCCCATTACTGTTGCAAGCACTGTGTGTGAAAGTTTGGTAGTCGTGTCTTGAGAAAAAACTGCCCATTTTTGGCTTTGTGCTTCCAGTCTTGTTGTGTGCTTTACTGTGCTTATTTTCATCTCTTATTTTAGTCTTTGTGACTGTTTTTTAGGCTTCCATAATCTACCACACTCAGCCTTTTGTAGGCAACAGTTGAGCAATCGGTTTTGGTGTTTTTGGGTTTGTGATTTGGCTGGCTATTTGTGGTGTTGATTCAACATACTGAGCCTGAATTTCTCGAAGATCCAGTTCCTTAATCAACATTTGTTATCAGAGGAATGATTGATGTGAATTTCAATGAGAAATCAACGAAGAAGAAGGCTATGTTCCGCGATTTCCTAAATAATCGTACCAGCAAACATGATTTTTGGCAAACCAGTAGCCGATTGGACGAACGGAGACCATTGGTGGACTGTGCAGGCGAAAGTGCTTCTTGTGGTCGACGGTGGGTTTGACAGCGACCTGCGGCGCGTGGTTCTCTGGCGAAGGTGAGAGTGGGCGCTTTGGACGTTTTTAAGCCACAGTTTCTTCGGCAGTGCGCTTATTTTGATTTTCTGAACGTACTGATATTTTTGGTTTTGTGTTTCAGATTACGCATGAAAAGCTGGATGATTCTACCCTTGGTGATTTGACGGTTCAAGTACTATACATTTACCGAATTACTTTAGGCTAAAAATTACTGCCCTAATGCAGTAAATTTACATCTCTCGTAATTTAAGGATTCAAACAGGTCCGTTCTGGTAAATTGGCTAATCTCGTTTAAATTTCAGCACTAGCTCGTCATCGTGTGGAGTGACAATAGGATTGAGGTTACAGTGTGGGGTAACCATTGCATGTACTAGAAATTAGGAATTACTTAATCTTCGTTACTACATGATTGAAATTGTTCATTTGATAAATTGCAGCAAATTATCTTTTGTGATATATCGTGAGTGCAACTGTTTAGTTGACATATCTCTTGTTGTACTGTTAAATTATTAGAATATCTAGATTCTAGACTTTACCCGTTTGAAAATTTCGTTAATCTAAAATCGTGAATCTTACGAAACCCTGAGAAACTAAAACGGTGTATATTTGCGAACATAGATCTACTTTGTGTGGTTTAATTGCGACATTGTATTTTTGATTGATTATTAAAAATGACAACTTACAATTGTGATTTTTCAATCTGGTAACAAAAAATGAGAGGTATTTTGATTCAACAAAAGGTTTCAAAAGCTATTAATGACAACTTTCCTGCTGATTTTTCAAAAGAACAAAAAGAAG